TTTTTTTTTGTATATCTATACTATATATTTACTATAGTAATTATATAGTATAGTACTATAGTACCAGCCTGTTCTTTAGAAATGTATCATATTATTTTGGAACATATAGTATTACCATGGTGTTCATTGACATTTCATGGAGTACCATGAATACCATGATATTTGAATTTGTTATTTATTCAGTTTCATAATATTACTATGGTGTCACCATACTACATTTTGTTAGGGGAATCTAGCTTTCATGTTAAGTCAGGCTTAATGCTTTGGCTTACTGCCTGTCTGTATTGAGGCATCAGCAGTGATAACAGTGTGTGTTGTGTGTTCTGCTGTATCCTGCTGAAAATACGTGTGTGCTGGCTTGTGTGTGCTCGCTTTCACATACACGTGTGTATCGACTGCCAGTACATTTATCGCTTATCCTCACTGCTTTAGACACGTGTTGGCTCTGGCCGTCTGATCAAGCGAGGTTTGTGGCATGCTGAAAGTCGTCGGCTCTATCAACAGCCAGAAAGTCATTACCGTTCAACACACATCAGTCCATCAATATTAAACCATTAGGGCCCTCAGTGGTTCTCTTACGTATCATAAAAAGCTGTGTTTGGTTCCATCCATCCATCTCTCCCACCCCATCCCCGCTTGTGTGTTTGATCTATAAATAGACCGTCTGTATATGGCGTTGGTCATGTGACTAAGGATCAATGTGGGAAATGGGAAAAATGAGTGTTGGGGATTAAAAAGGTCAGTAAACCTGATTTACCAAGGCACTCTTGATGTGAGTGTGTTTGGGTTGCACTAAATGTGATCAATGGCTTGTTTGACAGTTATCGATCATGTCAGCAACAATGAAGCAAAATACATTCGTAAATCTGGCCCAAACCGAGGTGTAATTCATACAAAATAGCTGTTTTGATTTTGCATTCCCTTAATTGATCCTGAATGTCTGCCTGATCCATGCAGAACGGATTCTGGGACTATTTTGTCCGTTTTTGTCATATGAAGCAAATGTAATCGCATGCGCATATGTATGCAGCTCTCTGCAGGAACAGAAGGAAGACCTGCGCAAACGTCTCTCCTACACCACTCATAAGCTGGAGCTTTTAGAGCGTGAGTTTGACTCCACGAGGCAGTACCTGGAGACCGAGCTGCGCCGAGCCCAGGAGGAGCTTGACAAGTTCACCGACAAATTACGCCGGTAAGAAAAGCGTATACGATAGAATCTGGCCTTAATATAGTGGGGCTTTCTATTCACATATGGTAACTACTAACTGAACAATTTATCAACTTGGCTCTCAATTTGCCTACTTATACTATGCTCTTTAAGTATGTACCTGCTGTTGTTGCAAAAGACATTAGGGAAGCATGATATTGGATTTTTGCCGGTATAGGCTGATATTTTTAAACTAATTTTGGCCAATGCCGATACAGATATATTTCCTTTTGTTTGAAAACTTTAGTTTTTTTTTTCAGACAAATGCAGTGGTAACCTTAACATTTTATTGGACGATTTAACATCTGTAGATGGTCTAAAGCAAAAGAGTTGTAAAAATGCTGAAAATCTTTAGATCTCTTTTTATTTAAGTGTCATAATTCGTTTGGGGGAAAAAAAACAAATTACACATTATGAGTAAATCTGTATATAAAATTATTTAATTTACAAGTGTCATATTTGTGATTTTTATTTATGTAAGCTATAGCTTTGACCTTTAAATCAAAGCATACTCGTGTTCATCAATACTGCTTTATTTAATCAGAAACACAATCTAAATGTTATTATTAGTGTATTTGACTTTCATTTTATTACAAGTAGGCCAACAGCGACCACTTTCGGATTTAATACACACAGACATTAGGACCCGGGGGAGGCTGCCACGGCACGCACTAGTGACTGTTGACTATCGTACAAAAGACGCGTCATTCTTTACGTGCATTCTCAGATTAAATGCAGCTATCCAAAAAAGTTAATCTAATTACCATTCAGGCAAAAGTTTGCTTCAACAATGACCACACTGCTGACGTATTGCTAGCAGCACACCCTGAGCATATGCGAGATATTCGTCTTATCAGCATAATTTTTCATTCCGGGCCAGTGCTGATGTTTACATTTTAAGCCATTATCGGCCGATTCTGATATCGTTCCGATAGTATCGTGCATCTTTAGCTAACATCTATCCAAATTCATCCCCATTAAAATTACTCAAACTTAAGGTTAATACAGTAGTGTAAAAAGTATTTGCACCCCACCTGATTTTAAATTTTATTGTATGTTCCTCTCATAGTATGGGTTTATATTAGTCAAAACACAAAGTATTCACAAAGTGTCCAAATATGCCTATTTCTTTTCTATATAGTAGGCAATAATCAAAATACATTTTTTTGTAGGTTGCAAGTCTTCTTGTAAAGAAGTTAGTAAACAGTAAAACATTATGGCTGCACAGTTATTGTATAGGGATATTTTTTGCAGCTGTCAGGGGTGTTTCCCAAAAGCATCATTAGCCAACTATGGTCAAAAGTTCCATTATTACCAACATAGTTCAACAACATAGTTTTCCAAATCTATAGTTCCAACGAACATTCGCAAACAGCATTACAAAATTGTGTGGTTGGAGCTACAGCTCTCAACCTGTGGTTAGAAGCATATTTTCTTTCTAGCAGGACATGGACTTGAGCAAAATACACAAGCTAACAAGTAGTGTAATCTATATTGTTCATTCCATACATTTACAAATGTGTTTATGTCTTCTACTTTGTTAACAGAATTAAAACATAATTTCTGAAATTTGCATACGCATGTATTTGCTATACTACTACGGGGGAACCTGAAGTGATGTAAGGGAAGCCGCAACATACAGTTAAATAACGGAGAACAAAAATAGTGACGTAGCCCTCATATTCCATGTTCATTAATTACAGCAATAATCTGACATTAATTTGCTTAATATCATTAATGACAGTTCTAACTAATGTGGTTCGAATGACATATGTGACAAAGTTCCCGTTTTCAGGAAACAGTAGTGACTAGCTAGTCACGGGCTTGTCTCTCCAACAATGCATCGTACTACGGTGATTAAGAGAGTTACATTGTTGTTCAGGAAACACACCCCTGAAGTATAATTTCTGCTACATATGAGAAAATTCCTAAAGAAAATGTCTGACTATCTGCATGTGAGCTGATTATAAAGCATAATTGGGTAATGCTGCAGGGCATGATTCACACAGAATCCAACACCAAAGCATAATCAGGTCCATATCTGAATGGCTAAAAACAAACAAAATGAAGGTTATGGATTGCCCTAGTCAAATCCCTGAATTTAATCCAATAGAAACTATTTTCACTTTGGTGTTTTGAATGTATTATAAAGTTGCACTTAGTATTTTTTGCTTTATTAAAAAAGTTTTACTACTAAAGAAATAAATAGTACTTTTGAAAAATATCATATCAGTAATCTGATAAAGACTGTTTTAATTTTACATCGACTTAGTCAACTCTTGGGGGTTGCCATGTTGAGATCCAACACGTTCTCACTCCCGACTCGTCACATATTGACGCTTGGTCAGGACCCCTTGGCATCGCTTTTTGATGCTCAAGGTACCCCTTTAGCATCACTTTTCGACATGCAGGGTACTTCATTGTTTTCAGTTGTTTGCCTTAATTTAATGGTTTGCATGCATTTGTAAAAACAGAAACCATTTTATATAAATGCATACTTTCATTGGAGCACCTAACCCGCACCCTACTCTAAACCTTCCCACTTCTGAACATTATTAACACACGTAACAGGCAAATTAAAAGTACAGTCACAGGTATTTATTGCAAAAACTGATCATAAAAAAGCAGTATAAAAGTATTACAAACAAGTTGTGTTGCATTCCAAGTCTTCTGAAGCCATACAATATCTTTATGTGAAGAACAGAGTAAATCGTTTTAATCGTTCAAAATGATCCATCAAAATGCTCACATCTCATTCAAAAAGATCCTCCTGAACATTAGCATGGCGCAATCGGTCAAGAGTCACACAAGAGCCAAAGGCATATCACAACCAAAGCTGACGTCAGGCAATTTTTGAATTTGTGCACAGACAGGATCTGAGCTTTATGGCAGACGGAGATGGTGATAGTGTCTTCACATCATATACTTTTATGTATTTATTTATTTTTGTGGCAGCTGCCCTTATGTTCCTTTTCTTCCATTTAAAAAGGTGTTTTTGCCCTAATATTTAAACATACTACAATTTGGGATGCACTGTTTCTAACCTTGCCTAATATTGTGGATGGATAGTAAGGGCACTGTGTCCCTCTGTATTGGGACACAGAGATTGTTTCACTTCACTTGGCCAATGCCAAGTGTGTAGGAGTCAGTTATACAGTTATAGCTTGGCCATGTGTTGGGCTCCTCGGTCCATAGTAAAATAAATGCTATGAATTGATGCCGCAACAGATACCATAATATGATGTGGAAGATGAACAGGTGGTGAGAGTTTTGGCAACCGACAATTGATTATCGAACAGATGTGTCTAAGGAAATAAGGAAGGCATTTAAGACCTTCCAGTGCGTACTGGATTTGAAAAATAGACATCTTGTTCATGTGTTTCCCACAGAATACAAAGCAGTTACTCAGCACTGCAGAGGATCAACCAGGACTTAGAGGATAAAATCCACCGAAATGTGAGTGCACACATCGGCCACACACTAAAAAAGAACAAATTATAAAAGAAGTGTCTGGGTGAACGCACACACACTGCTTTTTGTTTTAATGTGCAAATGTTTTTGTTCGCATATGTGTTTACGAGTACTCATCTCCCTCTTAAGTGTTTTCCTGTTTAAATGGGTTTTCGGATGAAAGTGTTTACATCGCTGTCCACACTTCTGTCCATGTGTGTACGTGTTTTCTGGTGTGGCAGATTAGGGAATGTGTTAAAACATGTACAATAGTGCTGAATGCACTTAGAGTCTATTTGAATATCAATACAATGCCACTGGTGCGCCTGACGTTAATTATAGTCCATTACAACAGCCTGTCCGCCTTCACATGACAGTGTGATAGTGAGTCTATTATGCTCACAAAATCTGCATCACAGCCTGTTTGTTAATTTGAAGTTCGAAACAATTAAATTATAATTAGCCTGCCTGCTGCAGTACATTGTACGACAATTACATGTCTGCATTAGGATCCAGCCCTCAGGGTTTACTCTGAGTTTGTTATAGTAAACACATTTTTTAGCAACAGATTGCGCCCATAAAGACATCAGTGATGACCCTGAAGGTTATGGGTTCAGGTATGAAAAGAAAATCATCTGATATCAGCCTTCTATTGATGTTCCTTTCAGTATGCCAATTAATTCCCATCTGCTGCAGGAGTATCCTAGAATGACTGAAACAACTTCTGCACTGACTTCTCCCAGTGTGAAATTGTCTATATTCATACTGGTGGTCTTTTAGGGCCTATATCATTGCAAATGCATATCACATAGGTTTTTTTCTGAAAATGTGCTCCTTTTAATCCAGTCACAGCACCACGATGATGAGAAACGGGCTCTTAGCAGAGAAATCATCGTCCTTAACAATCATCTCATGGAAGCTAAGATGACCATTGAGAAACTGAGCGAGGACAATGTAAGAGATATAATGACAATGTGATTTCTTTTACACACTGAGGCTTAATGGAGGTCTTTTAGAGGACGGTGTATTTGCTTTTCGTTACCCAATGTTCCTTTTCTACCACTCTCAATAGGAATTGTACAGAAAGGACTGTAACCTGGCTGCACAGCTCTTGCAGTGTAATAAGTCACATTACAGAGCCCAGTTATCTGAGGTAAGTTGGCACACAAACCTTGCTGAGTAGATGTTGCCATTATTGTTTTGTTTATGGGTGCTGCAGTATGCAGTAATTTGTGACATGAAAAACTTGTTAGTTCATTATTTCCTTTCTCTAGGCAACATATTTTTTAATTAACCATGATTTTATAAGAATGTTTCTTTCTTGTTAACTGGTAGACATTTTAAAACTTTTCCATCCTGTTAGGTTCTATCCTGTTCATTTTCTTGACATTGTGTCGATTCATTATAATTAATAAATATACTTACAATTGAATGATTGTAATCAATTTCATTCCTGAGCTTGAACAGAGCATATTTCAAAAAGATAGAAATACATCTTTAAATGAAAACAAAAGCAGTAAAAAATGTAAAGAAAAACAAAAAGTACAAAAAAAAAAAAAAAAAAAGAACTTCTCCGTTATAATGGACCAAAAAAAAAAAGTACTTCTCCGTTATAATGGACCACCTTAGCATTCTTTCATTGACAGATAAAAATAAGGTAAGTTTCCTTTTTTTAGAAACATTCCCATAACAAGGGATGCTAATAGGGATGCTAAAACAAAAAAATAAAATAACATATTACCATTATTGCTTCTATGGTAGGCTACTGTACCATGTATGAGCTGAGTTTACTTCCCACAGGTAAAAATGGTTTAAGCAAGCCACGCATTTGCTACTGTAGGAAAATATCTGTTCAATTTTTGAAAATGCTAATATTGAGTATCTAAAAATGAAATATACATTCTGAAATGTAATTGCATATTTCTATTTAACAACAATGAATAACAAAAGAGCATAACAGAAAATTTACAACCTGGTCTGTCAATGTGTTGGATAATAGTTATTTATAGCACAACTTCTGTTCCAAGGTCTTTATATAGCCTATTTGGATATAGTTACACAATCTCTTTTTTAAAATATATTTTATCTCAATAAACTCAACTATCCCCTTTAGTGCAATGTCATTTAACCAGTAAACTTTTTTTGAAAGACTGTAGGAAATCATAAAGCAGGATTCTTTTTATTTAGTGGGATCTACTAATATTTAGGTCAACCATAGTAAATCAAGTTCATGTTTAAATAAATATTGAGGTTATGTCCCAATTAAGAATGGGTGACTCTTCTGACAAGGTGAAAGTGGGAGGATGTTTAAGTAATAGTGTGCCAATAAACCCGGCAGTTTATTCTTCAAATCTGCTTCAAGCCTTATGCCATTCCCATGATGTCTGGAACAGAGACTTATGTTGGAATGCTGCCTGCTGTAAAACCCTGTTCATATTTGGCAGATATATTTGAATGGAATCATCAATGTGTCTGTTACACAATGTGTTCAAGGAATTCAGCCTTGCACATTGTTTTATATGAAAATGCCAAAGATTTGGCACTAAGCATTCATTAAAATAGCTGGACATAGCTGGACAAGGTGTCTTGTGGTTATGAGGAAAAATCGAGTTTCTGAATAACCTTAGAGAAATCTCTTTAAAAGCAGCCCACAAAGTCTCAGAAGCAACTACACTCAGAAGGTCAACAGATGTTGTATGTATTAGATATCAAATTGGATTTGTTGAACCGAGACCAACCCTACTGATTTTGAAGGAATACAGTTTTTGCTTCGTCTTGGCTCCTCTTATTATGTTTCTATAATTAGCCATGTTCTGTTAGCCAATTAGCTGCAATTTACTTTCTTCTCGTTGCTATGGTGAAATAAATGAGAGGTAAAAAGAGCTGTGATATTGGATTGATGCCAAGTACTCCGTATGTAGTGTCAGTGGCAATGAAATCGGTGGTTCTTCCCTCTGGCCAATTTTTGCTAAATGAAATACTAAAAACCATGTACTTACATAGACCATTAGTACAGACTTGTCTGAAGATTTAATACTGGCCTTTAACAACATCTTTGGCTGTCTGCTTTGCAAATGTACTTCCGTGGTCACTGGGTACTTTGATTCCATGTACCGATCTCTTGTATGTTTCTTACTGCCTCTTAAGGATATTGACCTCACCCAAGCTATTATTCCCGCTTATCCCTCCAAAATAGGATTCCATAAGAGCCTACATTTTTCTCTTGTGTGCGAGTCTCTCAACTCCTATTGTTCATTGGGTCCATCTAATGGAAATCTGTTTTACTCTCTCTCAGTTACCTGCAGAGTTTCAGGAGCGTGTAAGCTTGCACATGGAGGGTTCTTCCCTCTGCCACTCCCCATATGCCGACACAGTGCCTGCCTCTGTCATTGCTAAGGTCCTGGAGAAACCGGACGAGGTCTGCAGCAGTCAAGCCTCTCACTCACCCAGCCCACAACCCCAGGAACGCCAGGGCTTCCTTGTGGGCACAAGCCTTGTGGGTAGCACTGAGCGCCTTGGCCTCCGAGCTACTTACAAATCAGACCAGTACAGCAGTGACACAGCACTTTATTGCCCTGATGAACGGAGACGAGAGCGCAGACCCAGCATGGACCTCCATGGACAGCGGACAGTGTATGAACCTCAGAACTCCATTGATAGCAACCCAGAAGAAGGATCCATGTCCCTGCAGCCCGGCTTCTCCCAGGACCACTTACGAAAGTTTACAACCTCTCTGGGAGGAGGCTCTAGCTCTTACTCCAGCTTTAGTGGAGGAGGGTCAGAGGACAAGGGTCAGGATCCCCCAAGCAGTGCTGCCTCTTCTCCACGCCACCACGCCCTTTACATGGACTGGAGGGATGGGGGTGAATACGAGCACAAGAGTGACTCTTCCTGGGAGAGGGAGAGTCCAAGCGCCTTTTCCAAGGGCCACACTTTTCAACCGCCTGAGTCCAGCCACCATCAGAATGGTAGCTCACCCATCTACAGTAGAACAATGTCCTCCTGTTACAGTGAACCTTATGAGCCCCTGCCACCTTCCACCTCACCCAGCATCACCTATGGTGACAGTCGGCGTGGAAGTGCTTTTGCTCCTGAGGAAGAAGAGCTGATTGGTCGGTGGCGGCAACTGAGTGTGGAAGATCTGAGTGCCCACTCATACCGCAGTCCTGGGCGGGCCTCACCCTACAGCTTCTCTGAGCAGCACTTCTCTGTCCGGCCTGCAAAAATTCGCCTTGGTCCTCTTTACAGTAGCTTCCAGGAGGGTACTGATGTATACCACCATCATGGTGGGGTACTAGATCCCTTCTCTAGCCCCAGCCCTGAGTGCAGCCCAGGCCTACAGCAGCAGCAAAGCCAACCTCACCTGTACCGCTCCAAGGAGGATAGCCAAGAGTCCGAGCACAGCCTCTACAGCCCCAAGGATGGTGGGGTGGCAGCCGGGGGCCAGGCAACGGAGTACGTTGACATAAGTCCCAACAGTTCAAATGAGTCACTGGACCATGGATCTCTGGAGATGGCTGCCGATCTGCAGCATTACCAACCCGAGAGGCACAGCGTGTCCCCTCAGGGAACAACCCCACCACCTCCTCCACAACAGCCGTACCAAAAATTTGGCACACTAGGGCTGTCACGTAAGGACAGTCTCACCAAGGCACAGCTCTATGGTACTCTACTAAACTAAGAGCAGAGTTTCCTGGTTACTCTCTTTTACAGCTCTGTGGTACTCTGCTAATCTAAGAGCAGAGTTTCCTTATTACTCTCTTTTACAGCTCTGTGGTACTCTACTAAACTAAGAGCAGAATTTCCTGGTTACTCTCTTTTACAGCTCTACGTTACTTTACTAAACTAAAAGCAGGGTTTCTGGGTTACTCTCTTTTGTCAGTAGGTTTTGAATGTTAAGCTACAGTTTGAGCCAAACACATGATGGGATTTTCTGTTGAATATTTTCAGTGCATCAGCTCTCTTATCATTTTTCTCTCTATTTCTGTATCTCTTACAGTGTTTTCTAAACATCGAACATAAATTGCTCGTTTCTAGTTAATATGAAGCTCTAACATTCAGCACTATTTGTATAGCCTATTTTGACCGTTTATTAATGGTTCTGTGTGGTTTGTGAGAAAGTATTTTAAGTGCATTAGGTGCATTATGAATTTTTGGAAACTTGTCTGAAGAGAGAGACATTTACTTTGTTTTACCAAAAGCCTTCTGGGCTCATAAGGGTTTGTGAATGGACAGCACAAGCTATGTAAAAAAATGCTAATTTTGACAAGAAATTTGATCTTTTATTATATAATTTATGAATAGCTGTATTTATTGTTAAGTATGCTATATCTATAATTGTTTAATAAATGTAACACTATGGAGAGATTCAAAAATCTATATAATTGTAAATTATTTATATTGCTATAAATAAGGCAATCAGCACAATTACACAAGCTGCAAACAATTAAACATGCCTCAAATGAAGTTAAGTCATGATGACAATTTGAGATTTCACAACGACCCATTGACAGATCGTTCCACAGGTTTGTGGGCGAGACCTTGTGAAAATATTTTTGAGAATACACTCTGCATGGATTCATATTACCCTAAGTCAGCCCTTCAAGATCAAGTCTCAACTAAAGTGAAACTTCTAATCTATTTCTATTTCAAATAGATGTGATACTACTCAAATCTATTACACCATCAAACAAGTACATCTTGAAAGCACTGGGCATTTTCTTAAACTCCTGATGTGTTTTGTTGGGCGAAGGAATTTCTGAGGTGATTGTTCTTTTCGACGTTTTCTCTCTTTTGTTCCTCAGTGCTGTAAGCCCCTCCCTCAGGCCCTCTCTACCTCACGATTCAATCCCTCTCTTCTTTCTTAATCAGCTGGGATCCTGTGTCAGTTGACACAATGATGCATGACTCTGTTTCTTCTGTTTTGCTTTCTATATCTAATAAAGCACAATAGTTGCACCATGTCTGTCTCTTTAACTCCCTTTTTGTTTCCTTCACTGTTGGAGAGCTAGACTTGCTGCCGAGGTGTATTGGGAAGAATTTATAATCTGGTGTTCTGTTTCCTGCATGAAATGTTTCCTTGTTGTATGTGAATGGCAGCATACAAAGGAAGGACCTTGGTCCTCCTCCACAAATGACAGAGTTTCTTTCCAGCATTCAATTTATTCAGTCTTTACAGAATAACAGAAGTGCATCATTTACACTCAAAACATTTCATGTTAGTGCGTGTGATTAAGAACAGTAGCCAGTAAAATCCCTACAGCTCCACTGCGCATGAAATTTATCTAATAATAGCTAATGCACAGAGGTATATAGTGGAGGTAATGAAATTTATGCAGCCATTACTCCGATTCACTTTTTTGTTTGAGTAGTGACACCGCACTATATGCAGAGCCACAACCTACGTGTTTCCTTTTTGATTTCGTTTGGACACTGGAATGTCACAAACATTTTCAAATACATCTTGAAATGAGTCACAGGGTGGGAGTTGCCAGGTTTATTTCACAGCCTTATGAGAAGATGATATTCTGGGAGGCTAAAGTGTGACTAGTTCACTTCATAGAAGAATAGGTCTGTCAAATTAATTGCTGAACAACATTAAACTATCATGATGTATTGTAATAACTTGGTCAAAAATCACCAGTTAATCTACATAGAGAGATATGCAGTGGTGTACAAGTTATTCTGTATTCATGTTAGCTCTGAGCCATATGTTTCTTGGGCACGTTGCTCCTGTCATTTGTATTCAAGGGATATGTCGGACTCGATACTTTCAGGCTCTCATTCACAGAGAAGAGTGAGTCACAAGCCTGAGGCCATCTCTGAAAACACTGCAGCAAAGATACAGGGAACAGATGGACATTTTAATTATCTGTCCCTTATCGAGTAAGTCCCTCAGATACTTGGTCAAAAACACTCCCCAAAAATCCAGTGCACTGATGTTCGAGGTTTGCAATTGCCACATTTGTGAAGAGTGGTTCTGCTTCTTCCCCTCACCTCCTAAGCCCCACCATGCTCTCACTCAGGTCCCAGAGCCGTTTAGCAGTATGCTCTTCGGTGGCTTTAGACATCAATTGTTCTTCTTCGCAATTAGCAAAGCATTTTCCAGACACACCCTCAACTTCAGGCGAGCATGCCAGATACAGTGGGGTCTGAGCACCCTCCAGTGGGCTTTTGAAGAACAACCAAGAGACCAGCAAGAAAAGAGGCTTAATCAGCAGGGGGATGTTGACGTGCCGGCCCAATCTGGTCCTTACGATACCAGGAGTGAGGGCATTTACAGATACCCCAGTACCATCCAGCCTGCGGGCCAGCTCGCGAGTAAACAGTAGGTTGGCAAGCTTGCTCTGGCTGTAGCAAAAAGTTTTGTTGTAATTCTGTTCGCTGTTCAAGTCCTCAAAGTTGATGCTGCCATACTTGTAGAGTTTGGAGGAGACCACGACGATACGGCTGGGAGCCGACTGCTTCAGGAGGTCCAACAGAAGATTTGTCAGAAGGAAGTGACCCAGGTGGTTCACTCCCAACTGCATTTCATAGCCCTCTTCTGTCCTACTGTAGGGACACTGGTAGAGACCAGCGTTGTTGATAAGAACATCAATCCTTGGCTCCTCCTAATTTTGTAACACAATTAGGAGTTTAGAAATTTTAGTTTGTGCACATCTAATCACAGTTAATTAATCTAGTGTATAAATGCAATAAAGAAAACAAATAACTTTAGACACATGAAAAATTATGTGGTACAGTTGTTTAGCTTGGTTAAGACTGAAATTTAAAAATACAGATAGACTACTATCCTCAAGTGTTCTGGCATGTTGTTTCAGAGGCAAAAACTGCGGATATGAAAATCTCAAGGAGGCTGTCATGGGACTTGAGGTATATCTAAGAGGGAAAATGTTTTTTGTGTAGCTAGATATTGACTCGCTGCAGAAAGTGTAACTAAAATGGCTTCATATAAATGTCTATTAAATCTACATGGGAAATCAGGGCTGGTTGTCACACGAGGAAGTTGTTACAATGGCTGTATGTCAGTAACTAAAAGGATTTGAGGTTTTAAGTAAAACCAATATGACATGCTATATATTAACTAGGCCTGTTGGCATGTGTTGTGTCCTAAATTCATTTAATTTATCAAATACGTATTTATTGTTAATTATGCTACACCTATAATTGTTTAATAAATGTAACACTATGGAAAGACTGAAAAATCGATGTAATTGGAAATGATTTATTTTGCTTTAAATAAGGCAATCGGCACATTTATACACACTGCAAGTCCCAAATATTACAAATCCCTCATATGAGTTAGCCTAAGTCATGATAACAATTTGAGATTTCACTGCGACCCATTGACGGATCGTTTCACAGGTTTGTGAGTGAGACCTTATGAAAATACCCTAAGTCAGCCCTTCAAAATCAAGTCTCAACCAAAGTAATACTTCTAATCTATCTGATACTTCTAATCTGTTACAATTTCATATAATTCATTAATTACAATTTCTGTTGGCCAAAATAATAGTTTAACAATTTCATGTAATCTCGTGTTATTTTTTCCATCTTTGCTGTTTCGTTTAAAGTTTAATGAAAATCTAGTAAATGGATATTTAATTGCAGGTTCCCATTGTTGTCAAGACAACAACGTGTGTCCCTAACCAGAAATTTACTTTTAAAAATAAATCAAACCTGTGAAATATTGTCAGGGCTAAAAAGTGTGACAATCAGCCCAGTTGCCTCCTATTTTCATTAATTATGTATGTACAATTTATCAATGTACCAAAATACCAGAGGTCGCGTTAACCTAAATTTTCCAAAATTGACGGAATTTTTTTAGCAGTGCTTTCAGATGGAGCAGCATTTACTACACAGAGCCGTAGTTCACCGACAGTAGTAAATGCTGCTCCATCTGAAAGCTCGTGAAAATACCACATTTAATAACATGTTTTTACTCCAAACTCACTTCATAACGTCAGTCGAGTGTTTGAAGTTAATCCTTCTGTGAGATGATGTGGCTTCTTACACAGAATAAGGCACGTAACTATTTCATAGTATTCTAAGCCGTGATAAAGGCTATGTCGATTAGCATTGCATTATTATATACTTTATTATAATAAATATTATAATAAGACGAACTCAGATAAACCATATATTGCCGTAGTCGTGTGTTTATTAGTCACGTTGAATCAATGAAAGCAGTTAATAGGGATGGGCGGATCGATCCTTAAGTATCGATACTTTCGATGTTGTATCGAAAGGATCGATCCTCACATAAAAATATCGATTCTAAAGTGCATTTTTTAACCATTAATTGTATTTATTTATCAAGAAATTCGGTGCATAAAATAAGCTTCTAAGTGGAAAAATAGACTATATTAGCGAATAATTTAACCATTTCTCCTGCTCATTGGAACACACGCAAATGCCGAAAGACAGAACCAATCAATCACAGACAGCGTTCGTTGCTGACGCATGGCTCACAGTGCTTATTCAAATAGGGCTGCATTTCCTAAAAGCATCAGAGGCATAAGTAGATCTTAAGAAACCATTGCCACATCATTACATTAGCCTACATAACATTGCTACTATATATAACATTAATTCTGAAACATGCATCACGGTTTCCACACAAATATGAAGCAGCAATAATAATAAATGTTTCTTGAGCAGCAAATGATATTAGAATTATTTCTGAAGGATCATGTGACACTGAATACTGGAGTAATTATGCTGAAAATTCTGCTTTGATCACAGATGCATTTTAAATTACATTTTAAAATATATTCAAATAGAAAATAGTTTTTTTATTGTTATATTTCACAATATTGCTGCTTTTACTGTTTGTTTGTTTGTTTGTTTGTTTGTTTGTTTGTTTTTTTTCAAATAAGTGCAGCCTTGGTGAGCATGAGACTTAAAAAAAATATTACAAAATCTTACTGACCCCAAACTTTTGTGTACATGTAATATTTATTTTTAAATTGGCTAGTTTGTGCAAGTAAATTTATTTAAACTGGTTGTTAAAAGTTTAACTGGATTGTGTTATGTTCTGTAATTGCTGTTAATAAATCTTTCAGAAAAAATATGCTAAAGTTTCACCTTTAGGTACAACAGCCTGGCAGCCTTTTACAAAAATGAACCATGGTTTTATTACAGTAACCACAGTATTTGTAGTAAAACTGCAGTAGCCACAAATTTACCATGGTAATAATAATAATAATACATTTTAGTACTTATGTGACACCATGTTTATTTTTTATGAGGTACCCTCAAAGGTGCACCTTTGTAACTTATCTACCCTTAAAGCATGCATACTTGTACGGTACTAATATGCTCCCTTTTAAGGGTATAGTTGCACCTTTGAAGTTACTGCCCCAGTAAAGGGCTAAAATACAATTATAGTATATTTTATTTCTGACAGTGTAAACAAAAAAAGGCCTATGAAATTTAAAAAAAAAAAACATGGCTTTAAAATCTTTATATTAAGTGAGTATAATTACTGATTATATTCTTTTAATAATTAAAAAATAAGTTTATTTTAGAGGTATCGGTATCGCTATCGACGATACTGGGCTTGAAAATATCGGTATCGGATCGAAAATAAAATAAGAGGTATGGCCCATCCCTATCTTCTGTTTATTCAGCAACTGCTATAGGGATTTCCTGGCGTATTTGGAGTTTCCGCGCGAGAGCACCCTCTGGCCTTCAGGTGGAGATTTACTACTGATTACAGAACCGTGCTTCACTGAAAGATACGCATGACAATCACAGCTTCTGCCTAATCGCGATTTATCGACTTTGCGATTTCATTTCGATTAATCGTGCAGCCCTAAGACACACTGTATATATATTTTATTTTATTTTATTTAATCATTTAGCAGACGCTTTTATCCAAAGCGACTTACAAATGAGGAGAACAATAGAAGCAATCAGACGAACGAGGGAGTAGGCCTGGGTGATAAAACGGTATCAATATTTATCGACGGTACACCTTCTTCGATAACGATAGAAAAAAATGTTTGATATAGTGCATGATATAGGCACGTGCTATAAGTGACGCAGACAGCACACACACACACACGAACACATGCTGAAATGAGTGCTGTGCCTGCCGGTGATGATGTAAGTGACGTTGTTGCATCCTACGAGACGCGCCGCTGCTGCGTTATTCATTCAAAATATTAGAGAAATACAGAAGCTCAATGCGGAGAAGATCTTGATTAGGTTAAAACCGAAACCAAGCCATTCACACAAAACGCATATTCAGCACATTTTTTAGACGGACACATATGACTGCTGCACTCGCGACTCACAGAAGAGAATGTATAGAAAGCCATGCAAAGTTAACAGTTTAAACTTTTAGAAAACACGTCACGAATTTGTGGAGGTTTATTCCTTTTCACTGAGTCTCATATGTTTTTAAATGCAATCTGTGTGAATGGCACTTCGGCTCTTTGGATTAAGCAATGCATAAATACATGATGCTGTTTTGTTCAAAATTGTTTATGCAATTTACGAAATTATATTTGATTTCTATGAGTTAATTTAGACGTAATGCACGTCTTTTTATAGTTACTTCCTTGCGTTGACAATTTAAATGCGCTGCATTATTTTGCTCATTGCGCCCTCCTGTGGCCTCGGGAGACAAGACAAAAGTTTCCTTAAAACCTATTTAATCTGCATATAAAACATTAGAAATTCGATATTTGTTTAATTTTTATTTTGTATTTGATTGTTAAAACAAAAAATATTTGTTGTTTGTCTCAATAAATTGGGTTAATTTAAAAATAGAGTGGTTAAATGTAAAAAAAACTTTCTATTGCTCTTTGTTTTAAAAAAGGTTATAAAAAATGTCAATAATTCTCGATACCGAACGATATGAAACATTATATCGTTGATCAATTTTTTAGCTATATCACCCAGCTATAAGAGGGAGCAACAGTATGCAAGTGCTGTGACAAGTCTCAGTTAGTCTAGCACAGTACACATAGCTAGGTTTTTTTTTTTTTTAATAGAATGGAATAGAACAGAATAGAATAGAATAGGTAAGTGCTAGTATAGTACGGTTCATTCATCAACTGAAAACAGAATGATTGGGATAAGAATCGATATTGGTTCATAAAAATGAGAATCTATTAAAATCGAGAAATCTATATGTTTTTACCTAGTAGCCTAATGTTGAACATGAAAAGTGACACAGTCTCTGTTCATCTGTTCTCTTCATAAATAAATAAATGCATAAGCCTATATGCTCGTCCTGTAGGTTCATTATTAAAAATGAATATGTGAACAAAAATACAAGCAATTAACACATTTAATATAATTAAAATATGAAAATTAAAATGACGGGTAATAATAGATTATGATGGAATTTTTATGACCCTGTGCGTCAAAATGACGGACAACGTTAAAGTCTAACGCAACCTCTGCAAAATACCCACAGTTAAAAAAATACTATAGTAATTTATAGTAAATACTATAGTGTTTTTGAACCATACTATAGTAAAGTGTATTATACTGTAGGCATATTATAGTATTTACAACACTTTGTTAATAAATGCTAATGCTACATCATAAATGTAGTATTAACTATAGTGAACTGATAAAATGTAATAAATACTGTAGTATACTTTAGTTTTTACTACAGTAAACTGTAGTGTATTGTAGTATAATATACCCTATAGTTGTAGAAAACTTAGTACAGTATTGGGTCAAGTAATTTGTTTATATTACTATAGTTGTTATATTACCACAGCAACCAAATTACCACAATAAATGTATTCAAGTAGGCCTACTTTACCATAGTATGGTTCAAAAACACTATAGAATTTACAATAAATTACTATATTATTTTTTCATGTAGGATGTTGTTATGGTATAATTACCATATTAATAAGTGATGATAATAATAATATGCAATCCCATTAATACCTGCTTTGAACCTTGTAAGAAGTGAATGTCATTTTTCATTACTGGTGGCTAGAACTAAGTTGCCACAGTTTAATTGTGCTAACAATAATTGTAGTAATATTAACATTACAGTAAGAGTACAACATTCATATCATATTCAGGACATTGGCTAGCTCATTTCACTGAGAAACACAGGTGCTCAGTGCTTGACCTTTAGTTACACAACATGCAAGCGTTAGCACGTTTCGTGTTTTTTTGTGAACTAATTGGGCCATTTTCTCAAATGCTTTTGCCTGAGCCATTTCTACGTGCATTAATTCATACTCCATTGTGTTGCAGCCTATATTTAATGACATGCAACCTAGTTTCAATGGCTAAAAGAGAAAGAGACAGTTGTAAACAAACCCTGATAACTTCCTCGCAGAAGCTGCGCACAGACTGGAGCGACGCGAGGTCCAGGTGTTTGATCACGACCTCTCCCTGATTCGGACCGGCTTGATTCTTGATGTCCTGGGCCGCCTCCTCAGCGCTCTGCCGGTCCCGACAGGCCATGACCACACGGGCCTGCAGCTTCAGCAGCTCCGCGGCCGTCGCCTTCCCGATGCCGCTGTTCGCCCCGGTCACTATCACAGTCTTTCCGCGCATCAGACCCGCTGGGTAACTCAGCAATTTCAGCGCTTTCCGCCTGAAGAATATTCTCCGGGCAATGAAGAAAACCCCGCCGCCGAGGACAGCGGCTAAAATGACCGCAGCAGACATCAGTGCAGGAATGCTGAGTGTTGAATGACAGCGTGCGCGTGAGCACAGCGGACCACGTTACCCAGAATGCACTGCTTCATTATGGTTTAAAACATAGACATAATAAATACCTAGACGCCTCATTGGCCGCTTTGAGCCGTTGCTGCGATACGTCAACGCGTCCGCCATGTTTGTGAAGGCAGTAAGTACATCTGCGCTTTGTTGTTTACAGTGTTGGGGAGTAACTAGTTACATGTAACGGCGTTACCTAATTTAATTACAAAATAAATGTAACTGTAATCACAGTTACTAAGAAAAAATGTGTAATTAAATTACAGTTACTTATGAAAATGTTAACGATTACAAAGGGGATTACCATTGAACTTCAGATCAATCTCAAAGTAAAAGGCGGTACTAACGTCTGATTTTATGGTGGATGTGTTCAAATTTGATCATCTTAATTCAAGTGATGAAGGATTTTGAAAGTCTGACAGTGTTGAGCACTACTGTAAGGTTAACCCTGCATGGTGTAAATGTTTGAAAATGAGTAACAGTGGCAAATAAACATTCATTAGAAATTTTGAAAAGTAGTCAAAAAGTAATCAAAAGTAATCAGTTACATTACTTTAATAAAGTAATTGGAAAATGTTACACTACTTGTATATATAATAACTTGTAATCTGTAACCTATTACATTTCCAAAGTAACCTTCGCAACACTGGTTGTTTATGATGAGAGAATTCGTGGGATTCAGTCGTCGAATGTGCGCGCATTCAACAAAACTGATGAGTTTCAGCGTTGACTCATCTGAACGCCTCTGATTGGTCATTGCATTCCTAAGCACAACAGAATCGTGTGTGATCGGTTATAATTCACAACACTGTAAAAACGCCTAAAATGAAATATGGTGCAGCATGAGCAAATCTTAATTTAATGCGCAGTCGACACTTTCTATTAATTTACACTTTGTTAGCAACAGACGTAATAGATTTAATTTGTTTGTGCAGGGGCATTTTTGCCCCAAGACACTGTGGCCAGGGCCTTACACACGCTCCGCCTATGGTTATAATAATATATTGACTGCAACAACACATCACTGATAGCACACATACATCACAGAGACGTCTATTTGACGTCTGCATCTGCAATAGTTTTTAGAGTGTTTGCTCATCTGCAATACGTCTATAAGAGGTTTAATTTACATTACATTTACATTTAGTCATTTAGCAGACGTTTTTATCCAAAGCGACTTACAAATGAGTAATGATACGTTTCCTATCAGATGTCAAATAGATGTTTAGAAGATGTCTTTAAGATGTTTAGGATTGAGAATGTATGTAAAACTGAAATCTTACAGACGGCTGCCAGATGTTTATACACAGCAGATGCTTTCCAGATCAAGCGATCTTTAACAGACATCTTGCAGATGTACGTGTGCTATCTGGGATTGATATTATTATAGGGCCTATAGTAATATAACAGCATCTGCATTTCCTTCCTTTTAACTGAACACAATTATTTGTAATTTCTGCTTGATTTTTTAGAGTTGGCATTGATTGATTGTTTCCAGCTTCAGAATAATTTTCTTCATTGGTGAATGTATTGGCATTGAGTATGGATTAACTCTCGCCATTAATATAGCCATAGATGCTGGAATGGCGTTAAGAAGAAAATAAACAAACAAACATAGACATCCCAAAAGTGAAATGAAATAAAACAATTTAATACACTTAACAGTATTTTTTTTTTTATTTCAAATACAAAGTTGTTTTAATACATAAACAGACCTTAAGTCCAAAGTTCAGAAAACATATACTGTCAGTAAACTATAATAAATAAGTGTGCTAAAGTGCTACACGACTAAACATATGTTAGAACTAATGGCAAAAACGTTTCATTCTGAACAGAATTTTGTTGTGTTACTTGTAATTCGATGTCACAGTCAAAAAATCAGTATCTTAACTACATTCTTAAAAATATATAAACCATGTATAAATACAGCAAAAAGGCTAAACAAATATTCCTGTTAGTAAGTAGTAATACTAGCTCATTTTAGTACAATTAAGTGGCACTCTGTAGATGAACAAGATCAGTGCAGACTCAAGAAAGAAAGGAAGTGGAGTTAAAGGAAGCAGACAAGAGGCTTGAATCTATGGTTGCTAATAATACTGCTGGTGTGGTTGTGGTTCTTAGAACTGGCTCTCAGTATTTGGGTCCTCGTATATGTAACTGCCAACACCTCCAGTGTTCACTCCTGAACAAAAATAGCGAAATGATATTATCACGGGTCAAAGATGAATATTTCAAGCATCAAAACAATGAAAGTTTACTACACTCTAAAAAATGCTTGGTTGTTTCAACCCAACTTTGGGTCAAATATGGACTAACCAAACTTTTGGGTTAAAAATTTAATTTGAGCTATATTTTAACCCAAAGTTGGGTTGAAACAACCCAGCATTTTTTGAGTGTATGATTTACAGAAAAAAATGTCATTCAGTGTAACAATAGTGCAAAAACACTTTTGAGGCATATTTAGAACAAGAATCGTTAAATTACAAAAGACCCTGTTTAAGGATAACAGTGCAGCCTCCAAAATACTAATTACTTTCAATTTTAATTTTTTTACCAATCTTTGACACTATCCTTCAAACCACTTGTCAGCAAGTATTTTATCAGTAAGAATTTAATCATTAAAAATATAATAAAATGTAGTATGATCACTTATTCCTTATTCTATAAGTCAGAATAAGTATATTGTTTTACATAAATATATCTGTTATGCTGAATGACAATATAACATTATTTCACTCATATTTTGATATTTTATTGTCATAAATGTAATTGGAAAGTTGAAACATTAAAGTAGACACTTGCAATTAAAGGGGTCATGACAATGCTAAAAATATCAATATTTAGTATATTTGGTGTAATCCAATGTTTACGCGGATTAAAGGTTCAAACAATACATTATTTTCGACATACCGTACATTATTGTTGCTCCTCTCTGTGCCACCTTTCTGAAACGCGCCGATTTTTACAAAGCTCATTGTTCTGAAAAGCACGGGGGGGCTCTGATTGGCCAGCTATCCAGTGCGTTGTGATTGGCCAGATACCTCAAGCGTGTGACGGAAATGTTACGCCCCTTACCATATTTGGAAACACACAGCATCTACACAACATAGCAGTGGCGGCGACAATACTACAGCTATGCCTTCTTTCTTTACGTGAACATTTGGGCGGTGTTATGCAAATCTTCCAACACAGTGACGTAGACATGTGGGGGCATGTTTTAACGAGGCGTTTTAGGAAGGTGTGGATGAGTCTTAACTTTTATAAAGAATATATCTTTGGCTTTGAGACTTTAGTCTTTACAACTTTACGGGTCTTATATATGCACAAATAGCTTGTAACACTCCAAAGACAAAGAAAAACTTGAAATTGCATCATATGACCCCTTTAATATGTGTAAGATAATGAAATTGGAAAATGAACAATGGAAAATGTACCTTTTGGCCCAAAGAGAACAGCGTAACAGGGTTTATGGCAGTACGGCTGGCCATCGTGCTGTAGTTTAAAACAGAACCCATGTACACTATTAAATCACATTAAATCAAATCTGGATGAATTGCACAACAGTTTAATCTAGATATTTTTGAGCTGCACCTTTATGATATTACTAAGAGGGGATAAATACATTTCTATTCCACACATGCTGATACTTTTTTTTTTTTTTGACCAAATTACATTTCAAATACATGTAGTGAGCATCACAATATAAGCAAGTATATCTTTTTAGACTGAAAATATATTTAGTTTAAACCTTTAAATGCATATAGATCGCATTATGTACTTTGAGGGGCAAGAGAATGTCAAAATGTATTTTTATAATTTGCACAATATAAATTATTTAGATTAAAATATATAAAAATGGCCCAAAATACAGTAGAAAATACAAGTAACCTAAAATTTGCTATATATTTTTGGGCTGTTTTTGTCATATGAGAATCAACAGGTCTTTCAATTGAAAGTTGATCAGCTGCAGTGTTTTATGCTGTCTCTGTCCCTCACCTCTGCATGGCTGCCTGGAGCCAGAGTCTTGCTGCACCTCTCACAGCGCAGACAGGGTCTGTGCCAGTCTTTACCCAGGGAACTGACCTTTTCAGCTGAAACACAAAGAAGGAAACACAGGCCCTTCTGTAAGCATCAGGCAACCTCAGGAAATGCTAATGTATGTCCTGGCACTGCTGAACACACAAGTTACAGCACAAGTCCATATTTGGTGAACTTTACTGTCTGAATGTCAGCGCTTACCGAAGTACACTGTTTTGTTGCACCTTGGGCAGATGTTCGGCTGACCAGAAAACGAACTGAAGCTTGCAGCTGGAGAATATTGGGTAAACAGTTGTTCTCAAAAATATAATTCATTTAAATTACATTAACATAAATGTAATAATCCTGAAATATAATACAGAATTCATTACCACTTTGTTCTAGAAAGCACATGCAAATGTCGCAATTGCGTTGCTATATGGTTGCTAAGGTGTAGTAAAGCCCAACATATACATTTAAGGAAAGCTCACCCAAAAACGGAAATTATTGGTAACAAAACAGTTGCTGGTTGGCTTTAACTTCCATATTATTATTTTTTCCATACTATGGAAGTCAAAGTCTGCCAGCAACTGTTTGGTTATCCACAATCTTCAAAATATCTTCTTTCGTGCTCAACAGAAGAAAGAAACTCATACAGATTTGGAACAGTTTGTGGGTGAGTAAATGATGATGTAATTTTCATTTTTGGGTGAACTATCCCTTTAAGTCAGAATGAAAAATTTGCTTCAGTTACTAACAATATAAAAGCTATTTATACTTTTACTGATTTTTATAAAAATCATTAAAGATTTCGCAGCAAAAACAAACCATGACCTGAAGGTGGACAATTTTAGAATTATGCTATAAACTATCAATCAAGTCATGAAGTAGATTGTATATAACAGATTTTTTGTTGAGAATTTAGAGGCCTATCAAACAAATACAGTAGGCTGTGTTGTGTAATATCAAGTCTCTGCATTATTGTCTACAGTAATACAAACTCACCCTTCACTGGGCCCCTAGTAGCCTTTTTCTCTTCAGCCTTGGGCTTGGTTTCCATTGCAACAGGGGCAGTGTCTTCATTGACAGGTGTGTCATAGACATATGATCCAGCCCCGCCGATATTCACACCTACAGGGATATGACAAGACAGTACAGTTGCTTCTTTTCTGATTATATTTAACATCACAGTGTGTAAGAATTTAACATAGGCTTTAACTTCACGTAACATTAAAGGGATATTGCACCGCAAAATGAAAATTCTGTCATCATTTACTCACCCTCATGTTGTACCAAAACTGTATGAGTTTCTTTATTCTGTGGAACACAAAAGAAGATATTTTGAAGAAAGTTGGTAACCAATACTATGGACGTCAATAGGACCCAAAACTGTTCGGTTACCAGCATTCTTTAGCATATCTTTTTTTCCACAAAAGAAAAAGTCATACAGGTTTGAAATGAGTAAATGATGACAGAATTTTCATTTTTGGGTGCACTATCACTTTAATCCATATCTGAAGATCAGATATTTAAGCTGCTCTTGTGCAGGCTGTCTGTCTCATTAAGAATCTGTAGCATCAAAGGAAGGAGTGTCCTACTTGCTGCAAGCCCCACAAATTATGAGTAGATGCATCTGAGGCACTAATTAGATGTACTGCACCTTTTGGTCCATAGAGGGCAGCATAGCATGGTTTGTGGCAGTATGGCTTCCCATCATGCTGTTAACAGTGGAATAAAGCACATCACTGAGATTAATTAGGCATCCAGTTCCTGTCTTACTTGTCTGCTGTCATCAAAAATGAACGCTAATGCTGTCCAGAGATTAAAGCATGAAATATTTTCAACATCTAAAGAGCAAACAACTGTACCGGCCCTTGTGAAAAGAATTAGGCTACACTTTCGTATACTTTTAAAAAGAGTCTTATTATGGAAATAATACACTTTAGAAGAATATATTTAAGTGCTAATTGAAGTAATGTTTTCTGACATTTATTTTGTGGAATCTTACAGTTAAATGAAAAATGTATTATAGTTTAACTAGTTGGAATAAGTCGGACTTTATATGTAATTTTATATTTACTTCTATTGTCTTTGAAATATGGTTGCCCAATACTGCCAAATGAAGTGACAAGCATTTATGGTAAACTAAAAAATACCTTAATGTAATAAAACTTGTATGTCATGTACTTAAATATATTTGTATTTACACATTTGTAATGGTGAAGTTGCAATTTAGTACATTTAAAAATATATTTAAATGTAATATCGAATAACACAGTGCTTGTTATTATAAGCAAGTACTTTACATGGGCTTTGTTAGTCAAAACAATTAAATCGGTGCACTTCTTTAAAGCAAAAGAGTATAAAACAATTATTTAAAATGTATTTTAAAGCGAAACTTTTCATTTGACATTTAACAATGTGCACTTTTTTTAAAGTGTGTTTTAAGAAACAGTCATAAAAGTGTACTCTCTTTAAGTGGCCTTTATTTCATTAATATTATCTGCAAGTACCTTTTTTAAATGTACTTTTAAGATTTGAAGTACACTCAAAGGACACTGAAAGTACACAAGTGCACATTCAATACAATCAATATGATATTTGGGATGCATTAAGGCTCTTTGTCATGCAGATAACAGTTTGTTGGAATCTGTGAATTATCTGCATCATCTAGAACAACAACTTAAAAGTGTGAATTTTGATTATAATGTGAACTTGTTAACATGTCAGCGCTCTTTTTTGGAGTCTCTAAGAGTTTTATACATGTTTAAAATGTATAGTCTTTAGGGAAAATTTAGGCTACGAATAACAATTTTTGATCAATCACATACATTCTAGAATGAGAATGTCACTCCCCATAACAACACCAGCCTAGCAATAGCAAGTTTTGAATCATGAGGTGTGTTTGACATTAACAAATTATTTCACTCGCTAATATAATATTGCATGTGCATATAATTTTCCATTTTGCAAAGAACCTTTCTGAAGGTTACATTTATCCACCAGCAGATGGCAACAAGTGACTTTTTAAGTGAATCATTCAACCATTCCCTCAACTGATTCATTCAACACCAGTTGATTCGTTCAGGAGTGTGTACCATAGTAAACAGGGTAACCACTGTTCTTCTGCTTTTCTATAAGTTACACCTACTGTCAGAAAGCAATTTAGCATGTTCATTTAGCCCGTCTGACATTTTTATGCATTGTTCTAAACAGACAAATAA